AACTAAACAGAAAAACACTAAAAGAGAAAAAAAATCTACAATCTCTCTAGAAAAGGTTTAAAGGGAATTTTTCCCTCCTACAAAAATAACTCTAAAAGATCATCAGGTTATACAGCACGGGAAGAGAGCATGAGCAGTGCATGGGTCTCCTTCTTGCCTCTTCAGTGTGCTTCAACTCAAGCCCTAGACCGGTCAGTCTAGAGGCTGAAGATTCATCCCATTTCAGTGCGCAGCTAGGCATCGGCAACTCCTCCATACATGTCCAAATGAATGCAAACTGCTGCCAGTTGTGATTTGTGTTCTTGTCAAGTTGGAACAAGAGAGCAGCATCACCTTTCCTGTGTAGTCATCAATGTGCTGCCATAAAATAAAGTGGATCGATATTGATACAGGTCTGTCCTAAACTAGATATGATAATTTTGCATTCCACTGCCTTTCCATACTGTCCCTAGTCATAGGCACATCAGACAGTTGCGTCCTAAATCAGCAAATCCAATTTCCTGCTATCTCGGTCCCATCACTCTGCATAATCCCTTTCATGATTAAGCTACCCTTGTTTAGAAGAACTTGCTCTAAAATAGTGCAACTGCTCTTTCACAGCCCTCAGCACACAATCACTTGATTCTGCTGCTAAATAGATGAAAACATGTCTCTGATGCAGAATGTCACCTGGAAAGCAGACAGGAAACATGTTTACTGAAATAGCTCCGTGATCCAGTGCATACCCAGCAGACGCTGCCAACCTCATGCAGTAATCTGATGGGAGCCAAAAACTTCCATAAAAATTAAAAGCAAAACCAAGACATGCAAACTAGACTTCTGTTTGGGGGCAAAAGCACGGAATAACATACTGCCCCCACCTAGCACAGTGATACCAGAAATCCTCAGTGGAGTCACTGGTGCTGCTACAGTGTGAGGCTGAAAACCAAGCTGGGAAAGTCTGCTATTTTTGCCCTGTGTGCTTCAAGAAGAGCTGCTGGCAGCAGCAGCTCACCTGTGGACAGCTGCATTAGTTGTCTCAAAACTCTCTAGCCAACTGGATGAAAAATATTGATTCAATTACAGTCACTATTAACACTCGACTCAAAAAGATATTAGGGTCTTGTCATCCTTCACAGCATTTAAAAAGGTAAATAAATAATTCCTCACAAAGTCATACATAAACTCCAAACACTCAACCCCTTTGAAAACTCACTTGTATCCAGAGACCCAAATGAAGATACAGGTCTTTTACCTGGGTTTTAAAGCACTTTGTAAGGCTGATGTCTGTTCTCTGCTTTGTGAAGTTATATCAACTCTCTTTTCTTTAATCTGCTCTGGACTTGGCTGTGGTAAATTTCCAATTAGTGTTTTCTTTCTTTTTTTTTCCAGAAGCTGTACTGCATCATAGACATCACCTAATTTTATCAAGTGCCTATAGGTCAGGGATCTGGCATGTGTCATTTCACCTCTGAGAGGATACTTCCAGTAAATGTAGTTTTCAGTTTCTGCTTAAGAATGGACGTTGAGATGACTCAAAAACTTCATGGTAAATTACAAGTGAACTTTAAAAATTTGATTTAGCAAAGATCCTGCATGTTCAGTGTATTACAGTATGATAATCAGCAGCTGTCTGAAGAGGTGATCAACAGTTCTTCAGCAGGGAAAGGTCAAGGAATATAGCACAAGCTACTTTTGTAAATATACTGGAACATAACTATTCTCAGACAGAGAGCTGTCAAGTTTTGTCTTCTGTATGAAACCAGAACTGGAGCAATTGTTTTTGTGCACATGGACAATAATAGAATAGTGTTTCTCTTTATGAAGAGGAGAAATAGCTCTGCTCACTTCAGAACAAAGTGTCAGGATATCTGGAGGTTGATCAAAGCTCTGCCTATCACTCCCTGTGTGATTCTGGGAGCAGCCTTCAATCACTGCCTCTCACTGTGAAAGTGTATTACATGCAAAATTATTGTGAAGCTTAATTCATTGCTTGTGAATGCTTTGAAACCTTGAAATCTCCAGTAATACATATTTTTTAATTCATATTTTCTTCCTGGTATTTTAGATTGAAATAAAAGGCTAGAAAAGACCATTACAATGAGCAAATACAATCTTTTGCATATCAAACACACGATGAATCCTGCAGTTCAGTTTGGGGGTTGATCCTGTGCAACGTGCTTTGGTTCTAATTCAATAAAATGTGCAAGAGTCCAGTTAAGCATGAACCTTACAGGGACTGCCCATCTGCTTACAGCAAGCATTTGGTCAAACATGTTGTGGATTGAAGTCTGAGTACCCGGAAACCAGTGGATTTAAAAATCTGGAAGCGCCTTTATCTGTGAGAGGCATTCTCACTTGTAATCCTTGGAAGGTGTTCTCATATAGCAAATACTGATGCGGACTTCAGATAAGCTCTTCAGCTTTGGAGTGTCTCCCCACAGGAGTGGAGGAAGGACCAGGTACTCATTTGCACTTCCAGCTGTATCAACTTGTGTAATTAAAAATGATACACTTCCATTTTATAGACACCAGCACATTTATCTTTAAGGAAAAACATGAGCTCAAGACTATAACATCTAACTTTATTTCACATTCTGCAGCTTGCAAAACATTCATTTCAGACATTGTTTAAACCAGTAGTTAGGTATCAGACAGCCATACTGATTATGCACCAACAATCTGTTTTTTTAAAGTCCCTAATCCAGGAGACATAAAAAAGTGTTTTGATATCTGGTGTAGATTTCAGGAGGGAAAAAATACAGTACACTTAGTCTTCCCTGTCTACATTGTTTACTAAATATAGTGTAATACAAGTAATAATATGCTGTGGAAAGTTCTGCTGTAATGTAATGTGCATTTACAATCCAGGAGTAAAAATTTAGTCATCTAAAACAATTTCATTGTCAAGGAACAAGCAGTTTTGGCCAGCAGAGTACATGCTGTAGACCAAGTTGCCTCTTCAAACAGTCTGCCAAACTCATGAAGCAAAGGGAGCAGGCATGAGTTCTTTTCGTAGGCACATTAGAATAGGTGGCACCACCTATTCTAGAGCTAGGACACAGTGAACACACTTTTGCATGCAATGAAGTTCACCAAACTCAATAATACTCTAAATGAAAAAAATATTATTAATGAATGAAATAACACAACTTCCTTTCTCCAGAGGACTATTGTTTGAAGTCTGTAGCCTGCGACCAGCCAAATGCAGTTTTGCAGTTTTATCAGCAAGTCCTCAGTGTACTAGAACCCATGGTGTCTGCAGTGAAACGCTCTGTAAACTTTGTAAATGGTTGTTCTTCTAGCAATGACATATCCCTCTAGAAGGGAAAATGTTGCACACTAAAAATAAAAAAATGAAAGCCAGTCAGTAAATGCATGCAAAATAATTTGCCTTTAGAATAAGGAATACTTGTGGTTTACAGTAAATAATGATTGTAAGCTCAGTGTCTGCAGTAATATTTGCAAATGGGGTGATACTGGACTGGAAGATTGCAGTTCAGAGATTAATACCAGTGCTTCCTGAGGGATGCTGAGCTTGACAAAGGGGTGCATGCTGCCAGTCTCCAAAACACTGGAAAGGAAGATGTTAAGCATTTTGCCCTTTCTCAAAAGCTGCTAAATCTTTGTCCCTTTCAGAAGACAGATGAGGACTTATTCTCTCTACAGAAGCACAGGGCCAGCCGCTCAGGAGCAGGAGTCCTGCTGCTGGTAGTTCCCCAGCCCTTCTAGGAGCAACGGGCTTATTTGCAAGTGAGGAGTAGGCCTGCTCCTCTACTTGTGGAAATCCTTTACCCTTTATTTGAATATGAAATATTTAACAGGAAGCTGATACAATAAGACTTAGATCATCTGTCTGTGATATTTCCAAATCCTGGACTTCTCTCACATCAGTGTAATCAGTCTCTGCTAAGCTAGGGGTTAGCCTGGCACGATACAAGTATAACAGTCAATAGTATATGTTAACCTCAACTAAATATTCCATCTTTATCTTCATATTCCAACTAATTGGACAATCCCAGTATTCAGCCAGAGATGTCTAAAATCTTGCTTTACTGAAAGACAAGATTTCAGTGAATAATTTGCCAGGAAGAATTAAACGTTGTTACAATTTGAGAAATACAATTGAAATAAGGAAATGAGTAATCCCATAGCAAAACAGGAAACTTAATTAAAAAAATACTTGTCTTTCATGCTGCTTATCTTGATAGCCAGAACTGGAAAAATGAAACATGAGGAGTTCTGCTCCCATACAGCCTTACTAGGTATTAAAATGTGACTACCTGTTCCTTTGGCTACAGAGAGAAGGTTCTTCATAATTGTTACCATGCATTTAGTATGCTGTTCGAAACTTCTCTCTGCGTGAAGCTTTGTATAGGTCAAGATTTTTCCCACGCTGTGGGGAATTTTATACAAGCAGCCCTGATGTGGAGTCTTTTAGGTCCTCTAAAATCAGCAGAACAGGATGTTTATGACCACAGCCAGGACTGTGGTATTAAATCCTCTGCAAGGATTCCTCAGAAGAAACTGTTCTGTGGCTATAGGAAGAATGTGGGTAATGGGAGGTGTTCTCTGAAAGTTTAACATCTTTGCGAAAATACATAAAACCAGAACAACCTTTTTTTTCTTTTTAAAGAAACAGAATAGTGAAATTTGCAGAAATGTATATATCAGTAATTCCTAACATTATCTGTTTCTTCAAGAAATGACCTGTTTTTTATGTGGCAGCATTTTCTTTCCTCTAAAGTAAAGATACAATGGTTAAAATTAAAGATACAACACTATAAATACTCAGGCATACAGCAGAGCAGTAAATTGGAGCCAGCAGTGCAAAGACAAGTAATTCCCTCGGACAGTGGGATATTGTGCTCTAAGAAACCACCGCTGCTCGCCTCTTGGCATTGTATGTCCGCTCTGCAACATCAGCCACAGACTTCTCAGAGATCTCACGCTCAGAAAATTGGTGAGATGATCGAGGTTCCTCCCAAAATGCACCTGTGTGTTTGCAGTGAGGACCTAGCTCAGGAGTCTGGGAAGGCCTTTATGATGGTTTCATAGGCGGGAGGAGGGGTTTGTGTGGAGTGGCAGATGCGGAGGCTGTTGTTAGACCAGTGAAATTCGGGTCGACTCAGGCTGTTAGTGGTGCTTCCCACAAGGGTGGTGGTGGTGTTTGTGGGAGTGAGGGTGATCAGCTGACTGTTCGTCTCCACGGGGAGGGGAGGACACTGCAGGAAAGGGTGGAAGGTGGATGCGCGGAAGCTTGACTTCCTGGGGAAAGGGACAGCTGCTGTTCCGGTAAAATCCAGTCCTGCCGGCAGTGTGGCCATGGGAGGGGGGTCTGGACCGACGGCTGAAGGCTGAGGAGCTCCCCTGGGAAATGTGGGCACTAGCTCTGCGACGGGACAAGCAAGTGAACAATGCCCAGATGATCCCTCCAATCACCAGTCCAACCACCATGGACACTGTGAAGGCTATTGTTATCTGCTCTGAAATACAGCAAAAACACACAGCAAAGTTATTTCATCAACTCTGAAGGATTTTCCTGCCAGAAAATAAATTGAAGAGGGCAGCCTCCTCAAAAGAGGAACAAACCCTAAGATCTTTGTATGTAATACATGAACTTTACAGCACAAACACAGCACTTCAGATTGCTCTCGCTATATTGTGTTTTTTCTTTAATTTGCATAATTCAACAACATTCAGAAACTAGCTTGCGTTTAATACCACTTTCTATACCAATGCAAGGGAAAAGACTTCAGTCTCTCCCAGAACCAGTCATCTACCAGCCCAAAGGTGTATTATAAAACTGCCAAGCATTTCTTTCTGTGAGCAATGTGAGGTGTGGATTAACGGAGGCTTGTCATTCTGTTTAAAGACATTTATGTTCTGTCTGTACGTGTTTGCAAACTCACCTATTACAACAGTGATGTAGCTTCTGCCATGTTCTTAATGAAGTGAGCCTTGTATTTATTACATGAGAACACATCCCACCCTTTTACTGCTGAGTAACAGATACTTTAAATCCTCGTAACAATTAATGTAAATTACTATATCCTAAATGGTTATGGTCAGAGACAACCATTAGTAGTACTAAGTCTTTTGAATATTTCCCATCACAGAATCACAGAATCACAGAATGTTCGGGGTTGGAAGGGACCACTGTGGGTCATCTAGTCCAACACCCATGCTGAAGCAGGGTCACCTACAGCAGGCTGCACAGGACCTTGTCCAGGCAGGTCTTGAATATCTCCAGAGAAGGAGACTCCACAACCTCCCTGGGCAGCCTGTTCCAGTGCTCCGTCACCCTCAGAGGGAAGAAGTTCTTCCTCATGTTCAGATGGAACTTCCTCTGCTTCAGTTTGTGCCCATTGCCCCTTGTCCTGTCGCTGGGCACTACTGAAAAGAGTCTGGCCCCATCCTCCTGACACCCACCCTTCAGATATTTATAAGCATTTATTAGGTCCCCTCTCAGCCTTGTCTTCTTCAGGCTAAACAAGCCTCGCTCCCTCAGCCTTTCCTCATAGGAGAGATGCTCCAGTCCCCTCATCATCCTCATAGCGCTCCACTGGACTCTCTCAAGTAGCTCCTCATCTTTCTTCAACTGGGGAGCCCAGAACTGGATACAGTACTCCAGATGGGGCCTCCCTAGGGCAGTGTAGAGGGGAAGGAGAACCTCCCTCG